GAACATCCCTTTGGTCACTTTGGGGCTGTCCTGGCTGTGTCCCCTGCTCTGGAACATCCCTTTGGTCACTTTGGGGCTGTCCTGGCCGTGTCCCCTGCCAGGGTCCTGCCCAGCCCAGGTCAGCGCTGCTGCCGTGGGAGCAGCAGGAGCCGGGACTGGAGCGCTCCCAGCACTTTTCCATCTCCCGACACACAGCCCAGCACCGCGAGGGAGAGAATTAACCCCATCCCGGCCAGCCAGGAGCGCACAAAGAGCCCCGCAGTGCTGCCGGCCGCTGCCTGCGCATCCCAAGGGAAGGGCAGGCGCCGCAGGATCCAGGAGCCGCAGGTGGGAGAAGAAACATCCGGAGCGAGCCCAGGGCGGAGGCGGCTCCGGCTCCGTGCCTCGGGATGCGGGAACCTTTGCTGGGTCTGCGGGGCTGGAAAGTGACTGGCGCCGGGCCAGGAGAGTGGGCGACTCAAACGCCTCGGGCACACAGTTTAACCTCTCGGAGCTTGAATTTTATTAGCCAAGAAACTCTCGCTGGGTCTAAGAGAGGGGGAAGCACGAGGGTAATTTGCGTTCTGGCCTTGCGGGGTAATGGATCCACTGGAGCGGGGTGAGGGGTGGCCACTGGCCAGCACTCCTGGGCTTGGGCTGGAGCTCTGCTTCCGTGGTGGCACTGCAGCTCTGGAGGAGGAGAGAGGGAGGGTGGCATGGCCAGCGTGTGCCAGCCCCTCTCCTCCCGGGACAGACCCCCTGGGAGTACTTCCCTAAGCACGAGTACCCCAAAGCATCGCTGCCCAGCACAGGGAGCCTGGCTGCCGGCTGCAGCCTCCTACCTGCACCTACAGCTCGTCCTGGTTCCCTTGCCTGTGGAGCAAAAAGCAAAGGGAGAAGTGTTACACTGGCTGAGCCCTGGCGCTGTCAGCTGGCAGGACTGGAACAGGCAGTGGAGACGAGGCTGCCGAAACCCGTGCAACACCCACCTCCTCTTCTTCCTCCCTCCGCAGTGGAACCGCTGGCCTGGGGGCGAGAGGAGCGGCTGAGGCTGAGCCTCCCCCCACCCCATCACACCCACACCCTGGCACTGCCCACAGCCTCCTGCTCAAGCTGCCCCACGGTTGCAAGTGCTGCTGGTTTCCATGGTTTTCTCCCTAAAAAGTGGGCACACCCTTGCAGCCACCCTGCAGGAAGTTGTGCTGGTACAGAGCAGTGCCAGAACACCCAGGCCCCACAGGGTGCCCTGCACACTTATCATCGGGTCACTCTGGGAGCTGCCGAGGTTTCAGGGCTCTGGGAACTCTGGCTCCTCACTCTGGAAATGTCAGAGTTTTCTCTGCTATTTTTAATGACTGACCTACCCTCTGAAGCCCTGGCGCTGGCAGGGAAACGAAATATTTATGTGGTCTCCCTCCCAGCTCGCCCTGTGCTGGGAGCCTGCCTGGATGGAAAGTTCCCGGGCTGTCCCAGGGCAGGCTGTGCCCACCCTGGTGCTGTGGGGCAGGGTTGGTGACCCCCAGCCTCTCCCGGCCAGAGGAGGGGCTGAGTGGAGCACGGAGCAGAGCCGAGCGGCGTCCGGCCCACCCAGGCACTTACTGAGGATGATGAGGAGCCCGATCACAAACGCCACGACGGCGAAGATCAGCCCCCCGTTGCGGATGGTGTCATAGTCTGGGGAGGAGGAGAGCCAGGGGGTGTCAGGCCGGCCCCAGAGCGTGGGGCTGTCCGTCCCCCTGCCCGCAGCCCCCGGCCTGCCCAGGGCACACACTCACCATAGCTGAACCTGTCCTGGCCCTGCTCGGGCACTTGCTCTGCAAAGAGAAACTCCCGTGAGAGCCACGTCCTCACCGTGGGGAGGTGGGACAGAGCAGGGTGGAGGACTGCAAGTGAGAGTGCTGTGACTTCCCTGGCACGCAGCTGAGCCAGGAAAATCCTGGGTCTCACCCCGGGAGCTTTAATGGCCTTGGCAAATCCACGGGATGCACTTGCAGGATGCTCGGGAGCCTTGGAGTTCCAGGTGCAGCTGCAGGCAGGGACCCAGCTCCACTCCCTCGGGAGGTGGCACTGCCTGCAGGGCTCCAGCAATGGCTCTGTCCCCTCAGTGCCCAGGACTGAACAACCCCTGGGGCTCACACCTCGCACCAGATGCACCCCAACAACCCCCTCCATGTCAGCGAGCTCGTCACCGTGCCGCCGCTCCAGCCGCCTCCCTGGCGGTGCCCACACCAGCACGACCCTCTGCCAGGAGCGGCTTGGGAGGAGAAATCACTCCCAGGAGAAGCCCAGCATCGTGTGCCATGGGGCTGTGGAGCTCCGAGGATCCAGCCCCACATCTGCCCACCCCAAATCCTCCTGGAGAGCTTCCCCCGCGGCGGGAGGGCCCGGCGCTGGCCCTCGCACGGAGCTGTCCCCATGGAGGTGGCTTGTCCTTACCGTCACCCATGGCCTCGGCGTGTCCGGCGGGCGCCTCGCTCTGCGAGTGGGCACCCACGGGAAGGCGCATTAATTGGGAGACAAACCTCATTAAACATTAATGGCCTCGGTGTAATGTTTATCGCAGTCACGAGGGGAGGCACAGGGCCTTGGGAGAGAGGGAGGGGAGGGCAGGGCAGGGGCAGCACCCACCGTGCCAGCCGGTGGGGAGGGCTGGGCACCCCGAGCTGCGTGTCCTTGTCCCAGCCCTCCCTCGCCTTCCCATTGTCAGCCCTGCTGGGCTTCACCTCCTGCGGCGGTGACGAGCGAGGGATGGGCTCGAATGCAGCTGCGACTGCCTTTGGCTGGAGAGGAGCGGCAGCACGGCCCGTCCGTGGGAACGCAGGGCAAGGGGAATATCCCCCTGTGTGCCCTGGGGTGCTCTGACTCCCAGGAAAACACTGGTTTAACTCTCATTCATAGAGAAAACTTCCAAAGACTCGAGGTAAACTAGGAACCATGAAAGTGTGAGATAGATTGTAGATTTAATTTATTTTTTTTTTTTAATGATCTAACTCTCATACAAATGAGAGTTAAAGTCAGTGTTTTCCTGGGAGTCAGAGCACCCCAGGGCACACAGGGGGATCTTCCCCTTGCCCTGGGTTCCCACACCCGTCCTCCCAGCCTGGCAGCGAGGGTGTCCCTTGGCTGGTCAGCACCTCCGAGCCGCCCCGGGGCCGGGCAGCACCGCGATGTCCGCGGGCATCCCCGCGGGCAGCGGGCACTGGGTGATGCCAGCCCCGGGCCCGGCGTGGCTGGCTGCCAGCAGGGCTGTGCGATCCAGTTCGCTGTAGTTGTGCCATCAGCGAGTCGGAGTCGCCGTGGGGGGATCCGGCCCCGAGGGACGCTGCCCTTGGCAGGGCTGGCGAGCGTGGGCACCCCGAGCCCGCGGCAGCCCGGCCCCGGTGCCACGGGGGGCTGCCAAGCCCCGGGAGGGTGCTGCGTGGGGCGCCGCAGCGGCTCTGCTGTCCCCGCTGCCACGGTGCCCTGGCAGCGCCAGCAGCCTGGCACAGCGGCTCCCAAAAAGCCGAGGGACAGACGCGTCCCCCGCGCTCCTTCCCACGGGCTCTGGCTTTGCTGAGCGGCAGAGGGGAGCAGGAGGGGCTCGGCTGGCACAAAGGCCGGCTCTGCTGCTCGGGGCGCTGCCCCTGCTCCCCCGGCCCAGCCCGGCCACAATGGGATGCGTGGGAAGCTGCCAGGCTGCCCTGGGAACGCCACGGCCCTCGAGACAAGGCAGGCAGGCACCGATAGAAACGATATTTTATTCCCTTCCCCTTAGGTCACAGCACAGAGCACACCAGCCCTCCAGCACAGCAGCACACTCGCCTATTTAAAAGGAGACACAATAGCTCAGTTTATTTTACAACAGTCAGGGTTTGGCCATTTTACACACCACAGGGAGCTCTTTGTTTCGTGGTAACACCGACGGCACACCAGGGACAGCACCGGGACACACACCGTGACACTCGGGGGCCAGACCGGGGCTCTGCTCTGCCCGGGAGCTCTCTGCAGCAGCCAGGACAGGGGGAAGGGACAAAACACGAGAGACACGGTCCCTTTGCCTGGCACAGATGGGACAGAGCTTCCTGGAGCCACCAAGCGATGCCAAGCATGCAGGGACACAGACCGCGCTGGAGGCAGGGCCACCACGGTGGGATGGACATGGCAGAAACTCCTCTCAAAACCATCCTGGGGGACAAGACCCCCTTCCCGTGTGGGGATGGCACCCTGAGGTGTTCCAGTGAACCCCACTGCTGTCCCCACCCAAGCTGGCAGTCCCCAGCCCCAGCGAGGTTTTACCTGCCTGTGGATTTGGGGAAGAGCCAAAAACCACAGGTTTGCTTCTGAACCATGAGGGGACACAGGGTGACAATGACCTCTGGGCTCAGCACGTGGTCACAGTGCAAGCTCAGGTGTGCAAAAGCCCTGAGAGTCACTCAGTGCCACCCTCTGCTGCTCCACGGGGAGAGGGGACAGCTGGCACCGGGGGTGACACGGAACCACCACGGGACAACACGGCATTGACACGGTGGCACAGGGAGTGACAAGGCAGGGAGCAGCAGGAGGAGACGCTGCTGCCCCTTCTGTGCCAGAGACAAGCACACACAGGATCTCTGTTTCTCTTCAGCCCTTAGACCGTGCCGCCCACCCAGCTCTGGCTCATGGCAGGAGCTGGTTGGTGCTGTTGGCGAGGTCACTGTCGTGCTGCTGCCCTCACCCACCGTGCTGGGGACCTCACGGGCTTCCCTGCCACCACGGCCCTGCCTCACGCTTAAAGCAACATCCCACAGGTTTAACCAGGGACTGAAACGGGGAGTGCCAAGCAGGAGAGGCAGGAGAGCTCCCCTCAGCCTTGAGTCCAGCACCCCAGTGACCCCAGCGAGGAGGCTGAGCTGTGGGATGTCCCTGCCTGACTCGCCCCCCACCATGGCTGTTTTTAGGCTGGGGCATGCCGGGGGTTATTGCTGAAGTGGGGACGGGTGGCCCTGAAAAGGCTGGGCAGGTGCCCAGGGCACTGCGGGTCCCCAGGCCCTGCCCAAAGCCAGGGGGGCTGTGCTGCTGGCACTGGGCAGGGAATGGGGGTCCCTGACCCACAGCTCACACTCCCAGGTGCGAGGGCACCCCAAAGGGCAGCAGCCTGCCAGTCCTACAGAGCCCAAATCACACGCACGGTACGAGAAGGATGAGGAGAAAGTCACGATTACAACATCAGCAACAACTAGCCCTAGAGGTAATGATCATCTCACAGCGACGTTACACACCACGGGAGGCAGAGAGGACAGCAGAGTTTAGTCGGGTTAGGAGACAGGGAACCGGTGCTGGAGCACAGAGGGGGACACGGACACGGCGTCTCCTGAGAGGGACCAGCTGCTGGGGTTGGCTTTCCTCGCAGGCTGCGGGCATCTGCGCTCCCGGTGCCCCTCCTCGGGTCTCTGGCTCTGCGTGGGGAGCAGAGTGGTGGGTCAGGCTTTCCCCACGCAGGGCTGGCACCCCAGCAGCACAAAGTGCCAGCACGGGCTCCAGCCCTCCCCCTCTCCAATGCAGGCACAGCCCAGGAGGTTGGGCAGCTCAGAGTGAGATGCCCCGAGCAGTTCACACCCAGCTTTCCGAACACCCAAAATCCAAAACCACTCAGGGGTGGGGGAGCACCAGAAAAGGAAGTGTAACACAAGGGAAAATCCGGACAGATGCTTCCTCTTCCTGCCTGTGGACACTCAGGACCTCGCCAGCACTGAATTTCCTTGCTGTGGACCCCACCGGTGCTCGCCCCCAGCCCATCCCAGGGATGCTGAGCTGCTCAGCACCCCGCAGTCAGCCCCACAGGCATCCCCACAGCCCCACAGGCAGCCCCAGCTGTCCCTCCCATCCTGACACCCCCACCCAGCCCAGCCTGGACTCACGGCGTTGGCTCCTGCTCAGTTCTCTGCCTTCTGCGCCGCCGTTGCTGCAAAGGGAAGAGCAGAGGGGTTTGTGGAGCCTGCCCAGCGGGGCTGTGACACGGGACACAGTGGCACAGTGACCCCAGCACTGTGACCTTACCGTTCGAGGTGATCAGGTTCTCTGCCTGAGCCTCCTCGTCCCCTGGAGCCCTGCAAGGAGAGCAGCAGGTGAGGGCAGCCGGGATCTGTGCCCCACCCGGGGCTGGGGTGGCCGGGAAGGTGCATGGGGAGCAGGCACAGCTGCTCCCCCAGATTTGGGCACCCCAGAGGGACACCCAGAGAGTGCAGCCCCTCTGCCAGCTGTGAGAAGGAGCCACCTTTCCCTTTCCAAGGGAGGTGTTCCCCACCAGGCTGCCCCCACTCACCTGGGCTTCTGCTTGAAACTGCACCTGCACCTCCTGCCTGCAAGGGGAGAGAAGCTCCGTGAGCGTGGCCCAAGGGGAATGGGATGAGTTCCCACCACGGGAACAGCTGCCCCAGCCTGTCAGCCCAGCACCCACCACCTCCCCAACTTACTGAGGATGAGGAGAATGCCCACGGTGAACAGGACCACGGCGAACACCAGCCCCCCGATCCTCAGGCTCTGGTAATCTGGGAGGGGGACACACAGGGCTCATTCCTGCTGGGCTCCGGGAGGGGAGGGCTCTTTGCTGCCCACAGCACCCCCACAGCCGCCCCTCACGCTCAGCCATGCCCACTCACCATAGTTAAAGGGATCCTCCTCCTCCTTCTCCGGGGCGGCCACTGGAAGGGAGCAGACAAGGGGGGTGTGAGGTGAGCGAGCCCCTGGCAGAGCCCTGCAGCTCCCCACAAACTCTGGGGCTCTGGGCTCTCGTGGCTGCTGCCCCACGCCCCCCTGCAGCCCCCCTGGTTCCTTTTGGGGCTGCTCCCGGGTGTGTGGGGGCAGCACGGGCACCTACCGTCGGCCACGGCTGCGGGGACCAGCAGGGAGCACAGGAAGATGAGCGCTGCCTCCATGGCTGCTGCGAGAGAGGGAGAAGAGGGTGTCAGCACCCAGATACCCAGCGGGGCACTGGGACAAGGCCAGGGAGCTGCAGACAACCTGTGTGGGCAGGCAGGGCCAGCCCATGCCATGGCAGGAGCCAGGCTGGCCCTAGGAAGCACCCAGGGTGCCAGGTGCCATGGCTGCACCCAGCCCAGCAGTTCAGAGGCAGGAAGGGAAGGGTTTCAGCAGCCAGACAGACTTTTTTTGTGGGGTTCTGTGACGTATTTTCGACCATCTCTCACTTGGCATAAATTGCAGTGCAGTCTCAAATTTGCTCTGCAGGCATGGGGCCAACACCCCAAAATCCCATCCTGTGCACCTCTGGCAGCACTGTCTGGATTCTGCTGGAGCTTTGGCAGCTTCTGAGGCTGTGTCTATTCCCTGGGGAGCCTGGGCAGTGCCCAGCACCCTCTGAGGGAAGAACCTTTTCCTAATATTCAACCTAAACCTCCACAGAGACACAGAAAAAAACCCAAAAAGGCTGGATTTACAGTTACCCTAGTTTGCTAAAACACTCAAGCCTAAATCCCGCTGTCTTTGGGAGAAGCTGACATAACTTAACCAGTTTGCT